TTTATGAATTTTAGCGCATTGATTCAAAAGATATTTTATATATAACTAAATAACACGAATAAAAAGATATAATATACTGTGATAATTTTGGATATTAAAATCTTTTGTATTTACTAAATAAATTTGCATTAATAAACAAGAAGCAAAATATGTAATATTTACGAACTTAAATAGCATATTTAAACGATCGATCAAAATTATATTTTTATGAATTCAACACGGCAAAAATTCTCTAAGTAAAAATGAAAATCAAATCGAAAGTCAAAGCGAAAGTCATAGTGAAAGCCAAAATGAAAGTTAAAACGAAATTCAAAGCAAAGGGGAGTCAAAGAGAAAGTCAAACCGAAAATTAAAGTGAAGTCAAAGCGAGAATCAAAGTCAAAGTCAAATTAAAAGTCAAAGCAAAAGTAAAGTTAGAAGAAAAAATCAAAGTAAAAATCAAAAGGAAGTTAAAGCGAAAACCAAGTGAAAATCAAAACAGGTCAAAATAAAAATAAAAATTCTAACGTTTATCATTATTGTATTAACATAACTTTAACGGCAATCAGTCTTTTGAAGTCATATGTAAGCCAACAAAAAACCCGGCTACCATTTTTCCGGGTAACGCTAGTCGCATAGTATGACTCGGAGATCGGACAGGTCCTTATTTGTAATTTGGTTTTGGGCCGCTATATGTAAGAATTTTGGAAAATATATAAATTGCAAGCGATATAACACATGGTTAGCTTGGTGCCAAACATATGACCCACAGAAAACAGCACAGGTATGGACAAGTGAAAATAAAGGTATTGATGATTGCATTAAAGAATTTCAACTTAAAAGCTACAAAATATGAAGATGTAATAGAATGGATTCCTTTTAATAGATTAGTTTCAGCAACCTGGTTAGACGGAATACAATATGTAAAATATGACAATAAATCTGAATATGGATATATATATACACAATCACGTATACCATCATTTAAAGTGGAGCTTAAAATATTAACTAAATGTTTATTAGATATATTAAATGATGTAAGTTAAAATATTTAAGGGATTAAAGGGTATAAAATATGGCGGGCATTTTACTATAGCTTTATATAGTGATGGAATGCCGAGCATTTCTGACAATAAGGAAAACCTATACGTAAAAAAGAAAAAACTCTTAAATCTTGTAACTTAGACAACTGATTTTAATGATTTTGTTATCATTAGAATCGTAATAACACGTTCTACAACTTTAATTAAAGATTCAAAAGATGTTTAATAAAAAAAACAAAAAAACTTTTCATTGTAATGAATCGGCATTCTATTATCATAAAACATTTATAATAAGTTCCGACTATGATTCTTAGTAATTATTATACCCTTTAACTGTGAACCATTGTTACAGGATATATAGCTTTTAATATACTGTGTACTTACACGTTTAATAAGTTAGTAGATTATGTGTAGTTAAAGAATAGTGATCTTAAAGTATATGATCGAGCTCAGAACACAATCATAAATGAATATATATTAGTATTTGATGAATTTTGTTCTAAGAGGAAGGGTAAAAATGGAAAATGTACAAATTGCAAGCAACTTAGTACATCTGAAGGTTGGTGTCAACCATGTGACCCTCAGAAAACAGCACAAGGATAGACAAGTGGAAATAAGGATATCGACTATTCCATGAAGAAATTTCAACTTCAAGCTACGAAGTAATCGAATGGATTCCTTTTAATAGATTAGATGATATTCAAAATATTGGTGATCTGTTTTTAGCAACCTGGTTAGATGGTGTACGGTGTATAAGTTATAAAATTGAAAATGATGAAGTTATTGAATATCCACAGTTACGTACACTAGCATGCAAAATCACACTTAAAATATTGACACGAACACAAAATACTTTAAAAGAAGTAAGTTTATATTATTATATTATATGTAGCGATGGGCAAATCGCGGATTCCCAAAAATCCCGCGCATCACGCGCGTGATCCGCGCGTGATTCGCGGGATCGATAATCAATCAACTGGTCTTCGAATCCTTATTTGCGGAATATTGCGGAACACCGGTCAAAATTATCGGAACATTCCGGTCCTATTAGCAGCATTCATATCGATATTATACTACGTATCTCGCGCGGGATCCAAAAATATCCTGCGCATCACTAATTATATGTAGTTTATTTAATCTGTATGTTTAACCTGTATTTTTAATCTGTATGAGTATATATTCCTATAATCTATAATCTATAATGTATTTAATATAGCAATTAATGAGTCAATTAGAGGATCAAAGTGTCCATGGATTAACTCGAAATATCGCAACAAATGAGCATATGTTGGTATTTTATGAATTTAGTTCTAAAAGACATGAAGATTATGGAAGATGTACAAATTGCAAGTGATATAATACATCTTAAACATGTGACCCACAGAAAACAGCACAAGGATAGACAAATGAAACTAAAAGATATTTGATAATTGCATTAAAGAATTTCAACTTAAAACTACAAAATACGATGATGTAATCGAATGGATTCTTTTAATTAATACGATATGTAAAATATATAGATGGCGAAGATAAATATACACAGTCACGTATATCAACATATAAAGTGGAGCTTAAAATATTAAATAGAACACAAAAATTATTAGATATGTTAAAAGTAAGTTAAAATATTTAATCATTAGTCACACGATATATAGCTTTATTTTAATATACTATATATAGATTATGTACAATTAAAGAATAGCGATCTTGGTATATGGTCTAACTCAAAATAACGCAACAAATGTGTATATGTTAGTATTTGATGTAAAAGAAATATAATGAATGGAAAATGTGCAAAATTGCAAACGAAATAAGTCACCAGTTTGGTGTCAGACATGTGATCCTCATAGAACAACGCAAGGATGAACAAGTTGCATTAAAGAAATTTCAACTTAAAGCAACGAAATATCAATATGCAATTGAATGGATTCCTTTTAATAGATTAAAAATATTCAAATGATCGGTAAAAGTGGATTTGGCTCTGTATTTTCCGTAACGTGATTAGATGGTAAAAGGACAGTTTCAGGTATTGCTTATCAACATATGCAATCACGTACACCATCATGTGTAGTTGCACTTAAAACTTTGCCTGGTTCACAAAAGAATTTTTTAAGAGAAGTATGTTAAATGATTTATTTATAGTCTAAATATAGATCAACTATTAACATTATACAGTTTAAAAATTACACGGAATTTAGATTAATGAGTAATAACCTTGAAGTGTATGGGCTAACTCAAGACGCAACTAATAATGAATATTTGATAGTATTTCAATATACAATAGAGGAGGCCTTTAAAATTTCCCATCTTCAGATTTTAATTGGAAATGTAAATTAAATCAGCTTATCGATACTAACAATCTAGTAAAGGAGATTTTCATAACAAAATTAATATATTGAAATCGGTCCTACGATTATCACGGTCACACATGACCGATCGTCGAATTTAGGTCCCGAGTAATTGGTCACATGAAAAGTAAGAGAAATCATACTCTTATTACTTTTATTACTTCGGGTAGATCGATGGCATATAGAACATTCAGTTTTTCTTTATTATCGTGGGGATAAGGGTTTTAATGATGATATTGTGTAAATAGATAATGTAGAGGAAATTAACCGCGAATGTAAATAAAACTTTTATTATAAATAAAGGGCTTTCCGCCCAGGGGGAAGGTAACAAGCGATACCCCCAAGTAAATACATTTTGCATAATAAACTTAAGTATCGGACCCATATTAAAAGTGAAACTATAACCCAACCCGAACTAATAAACTATCGTTAAACCCATCGTATCCAACTATCGTTCGTTTGCAAATCACTAAACCGCACGTTGATCGTTCGCCGTAAGTCACGTGACCAAGCCGTTAAACGAAGAGAAGAACTCCAACTCCGATTCGACGTATTGCAACCCCAGGTTAAGAAAGTAGAAAGAAGAGAAGAGAAGGCAAAGGGTTAACAGAAAAATAGGTTGAAGGAAAGACTTAGAAGAGAAGATTAGTACTTACCTACGGATAAACCAACCAGCCAAATCTAACACGCCTATTTCGACTTAGCCGCCGTAGGTTACACGAGAATTGGAAGGAATTAGCGACAGACTCGCCGATTTACCGAACTACAATATTAATGAAGATCTAATATCTTATATTGCGGATCTAGGATTATCTAGAAAGAATGATTATTCTGATTCAGAAGATGGTATTTACGGCGTTTTACCTTATGTTGCACCAGAAATATTAAATAAACGACAACAGCTGACATTTATAGCTTTGGTATTATTATGACTGAGATATCTACAGGAAGATCTCATTTTGATATTGAATACGATGAAATGTTAGCTGTGAAAATATGCGATGGATTATGGATTACGTCCTGAATTTGCTAAAGACACTCCTGAATGCTATATCCGATTAGCAAATAAATGTATGAATGCTAATCCTTCTAATAGGCCAACTGCATTTAATATCTATAAAAAGTTATCAAGATGGTATAAGATATTAAATTATAGTATTGCGAATAATAAGTATGTCTTAGCAATATTAAAAGCATTCCAATATGCAGGTGCAATTATTCCAACATTATCAACAGAATTGCCAAATTCCCTAAAGATAAACTTACAAGTAGATTCTACTATGTGCAAATTTTCGGTTTCTGATGACAATTAGAATAATATTTCATAATCTATTATTTAAATCGCCTAATTATTTGATAAATATATTTCAAATGATTTAAATTATAAAGTCTAATGCTAACTTATGTGAAGTGAGAGATAGAGCTATTGAATTCAATTATACTAACTGGGTCAAAGCAATAAACTTTGTTCGAAAATTTATATAAGGCAATACAAGGGTAATTTCTTGGTTTTTATAACTTTAGAATTCTAAAAATAGTCTAATCACTTGGCCTTTATTATAAAAATCCTTTGAAATAAAGTTCTGAAATTTTTTATTAAAAACATCTTCGAATAATGAATAAAGAAACCATGTCAATATATTATAAACAACCCATATTATTAATTAAATTTGAACAAAATCAAACGTTTACGCTTCAAGTAAGTTTTTTTTTAATCTATAATTGTTATAGAAGACATGGCATATTCTAATTTTCATTCCAATTGTTAAACATACATTAGGCAATAAATTATTTGAAGTCTGACATCAACATCTATGATATCTCCTCAAAACTAGTAATGCTTACTGACATTTCCTCGTGTAAAAATTATTTGGTCTTCAAGTCCTCACGCAACCGTCCAAATATTTGAGGATTTAAAGGTAAGTTAATATTATTAGTACGATACTGCTTTGACAGAACATTAATGGAAAGTCCTTCAATTAATAATTTAAAAGGAATCACCCGATCAGCCTGACCTTGAAACGGTGCAGTCTATCGGAGTAGAAAATGAGGATATCACCGACTATAACTTGTCACCACAAGTAAAGAATTTTTTTATCCTCCTGACTTTATAGTTTTATATGTATATGTTTATATGAAAATTTTATTATTAGGATATCCTTCGTGCATTACCCGGGATAACCGCAAAAAACTATAAACATATTATGTCTAAAGTTGAAAATTTGCGCAAATTAACAATTATTTTTAAGGGGGTTACAAATCTTGGCAAAACCTTATATGGATTTCTCGAAAGAAATGTTAAAATAAAATTTTGCAATAATGTGGATAATCAAATCTTAAGTTACTGCGCGTTCATTCGACCATGATAAGTCGGAAAAAACTAAACGTTACTTGCATGTCAATGTTTCTTGTTTAATAAATTCAAGAATCAACAGAACTAAATAACACTAGTATGTGATCCATCGCGTTGTTCTAGATTTTATGTTTAGTGTTTATAAAGATTATTTATTCCTATAAGTTCTAATATATTCATGAATATCATTAATGTGCGAAACTTTTGAGGTGCGTTTTTTTGGGGGGATTTTTTTTTTTAATACTGTAGTTAAATTAGAATTTCTGAATTTAGGGTTTATATGATAAGATTTTACAGATATCGTCAAAATTATACTGTAGTATTATATTATGAATATTACTGTATTATGATTTTCATATAGGGCTATATATAGATTTGATTCATTTTTCGCTGTACAGTAAATTTTAACTGAAAAATTAACACCAATTGTAATTTCATACAAGCTAGTTGTTATTTATCAAAGTTAATAGTTTTTTTTTTTGATAGACGATTGTACGCTACACTATTAAAATAATATATAATTCAAATATATAACTAGGGATTGGAGCCGCCTAAAATTTTTCTTAATCGCTTAACCATTTAACCGTTTAATTTGGCTGGTATTAAAATAATTTCAGCCCGCGACCAACATAATTCTGCCCGGAACTATGGAGCAATTTTTAAACGGTTAAACGGTTCCAATCCCTATATATAACTATGCTAACTATGGGATACAGCATAAAAAGTAAATTTTAATTTTTCACCGTTGGATTCCAGTGACATTATCAAATGATTAGAAAAATAAACAATTACGTTGTCCTTCGGACTTTTAAACTTTTAATGGTTTCCATTAATCTAGTTGTATAAGGAATCTATATACGTCGCGTCGTAAAAGGCAGATTGAATGCGTGTCCAACAGAAATTCATGAATTTACGAAAATTTAACGCGTTGGTTGCTTCGGACCATTATCTAGTCATTAATAATTTCTTTTCATCATATATATAATCATATTAAATCACAGTATCAGCAAACAATTTAAAGCACTATGAGTAAACGATTGTTTCCGGACATTAACATTAGCAACAATGCTTTTATTTACTAATAAATATTAATTAAGTTTTCGTATTGTGACAACATTTTTGCTGTTAATGATGGCTTCACAGTATTTAGGCCACTATAAAAATTAGACATAGTCTTTTA